TAGTTACCCATGTTGTCATACACATGACCGATGTTGTTGTAGGAACTAGCCAATAAGGGATGATTCGGAGGCAGAGATTTTTCGAAGATTTTAAGTGCTTTCTCGTGAAATTCAAGTGCTTTCGAGTAGTTACCCATGTTGCCACAAGCAAGACCGATGTTGTTGTAGGAAGTAGCCAATAAGGGATGATTCGGAGGCAGAGATTTTTCGTAGATTTGATGTGATTTGTCGTAAAATTCAAGTGCTTTCGAGTAGTTACCCATGTTGTCATACGCAAGACCGATGTCGTTGTATGTGTCCGCTAATGAAGAATGATCTTCCGGAAGAGTTTTTCGCTCGATTTCAAGTGATTTTTCATAAAATGAAACTGCTTCCTTGTATTGTCCTTGATGCAATTTCATCACTCCAAGCATATGATATATATGTGCTCTATCACTGTCGCTGGACGAGTTGTTCAGTAATTCATTGTAAAGTTCTTCAGCTTGATTGAAGTGACCCGCTTTTAGCATTAGATGGCCCAATCGGTGCCATCCTGTGGATCCAAAGAGCTCCCCTTTTATGCGTTCAGTAAGAGTAGCCAATTGTGGATCATTGTCGCCTGTGAGAGTCAATTGTACTTCCCATAGACGATTGTTGCTGACTGCCTGCTTGATATCATCGACCCGAAAAACAGTGTGCATTGAGAATAAAATTTCTTTCTCGCTTTCAATCGCACTGTATTCGTCGATGAGGGCAAATGGTGTAGTTGAAGCTGAAATTTTACTTGGATCAATTGTCATGATGAAAAGGACACCCACGATGTCTTTATTCTTGTGCATGGTATGTTGAACGAATCCCATGGCTACCTGTTGTTTTGTACTGGTCGACAAGAAATTATTAAACGAGAGAAGTCCACCTTTCGAGTCGACTAAATGTTTAAAATCCTGTTGTGAAAGCCCCTGACCTCGATAAACGATGAACTTTGTCATAGAGGCACCCGATTGTTCTCGATGAAGTTTCTCTAATTGTCGATGGAGCGAGCGAATGAAGAAACCTATTTTTGTCATGGCTTCCATGTCAAGTGACCGTAGGGCGCAATTGAGCATGCCGTAGAGGAAAATTTGCCGAGTATACCACCAAACTGACGATTTATCGTGGTATCTACCCTGAAATTCCTTTAATTGTGATTCAGGAACACCTTTGTTACTGCAATAGGCGACAAGGTCACTCATCGACTTAGCGTCGTCTTCATCGATTGCTAATAAAATTTCTTTGAATAATGTTGAATACATAAAAGACGGCTCCAATTGGTCGAGATTGCGTTCGGCAGATGCAGCTGTTGCTACCACCATCTCTTTTGGAACGAAACTCATCGGCATTGCGTCGTCATCGCATTGACGAGCGACTTTTTGTAATGAATCGCAAATTTGTGCAA